TCTATCTATCTATCTATCTATCTATCTATCTATCTATCTATCATCTCTATCCATCCATCCATTCATCTGTCTTCCTAGTCATCTGTCTCTCTGGGAGCCCCTGGGTCCAGCAAGCCATTAACACTCTCATCTGCTAACCAAATGATTAGTGGTTCGAATGCACCTAGCGGGCTTCAGATTTATGGACTTGGACTAGACTTGGATGGGTTGTTTTCTCAATGTTCAATTCCTCTTGTATATAAATCTCTTTCTTATAAAACAAAACAAAACAAAAGAAAGGCGTGAAGTTCTCCTCCAACTCAGCCGTTCAAACCCTATTGGTCTCCTCCCGTCTGGAGGAAGAGAGTGACCGAAGGAAACAAACGATTCAAGAAAACAATGGTCTGCATCAACTACAACCGCCTCTAGTCTGACACCAGGAGAGGAGGGGATAAAATGTCCAACAAAAGTCACGCACTAGTCCTGACTTACTGAACCAATGGACATCTCAACAGCATCTGATTTGGGCTTCTCTCTTACCTTTTACCTTCTTCCTTACCTCTTTAAAACATTTTTTTATTGTATTTTAGGTGAAAGTTCACACTGCCGGTTAGTTTCCCATCCAGTGATTCCTATGCAAATTGTTCCATGACACTGATTGCTATCCCTGCAGTGTGTCAGCACGCGCCCCACTTTCACCCCACCTTTCCTCTTCTATCTCTCTAGTTTTCTGGGCCCCACCTTGCCTTTTTTTTTTTTTTTTTTTGCTTTGGGGCAGATATTCCTCGTTTGGTTTTGTCTAGTTTATTGTTCTATGGAACATATTCCTGAAGAATGTTACTGTAAATTGTGCCGGTCTATCGATGAACTGAATGATGGCTTCGGGGAGAGACTTCGGTTCTAGATGACAAGTGTGAATCAGAGCAGTGGTCCTGGTGGCTCCCAGCCTCCATTGGTTCAGTAAGTCAGGACTAGTGCGTGACTTTTGTTGGACATTTTATCCCCTCCTCTCCTGGTGTCAGACTAGAGGCGGTTGTAGTTGATGCAGACCATTGTTTTCTTGAATCGTTTGTTTCCTTCGCTCACTCTCTTCCTCCAGACGGGAGGAGACCAATAGTTGTATCGTAAGGGGCTGCTTGCGAACTGTGAGGACCCCAGATGCGACTCACCTACCTAGGATTGAGAACATCAGCTTTATGAATATTATTTTCAGAACATGCGGCATTATGCCAATTGACCTGCATGTCTCCCAAGGTACGTCTAGTAAATATCCCTAGCTGTGCCCCCTATGTGCATACTATATATGTGAATATATATGCAGCACATGCATATCCCCCCAGGAGTCCTCCCACCCCTACATAGCATGCATCTCTGCCTATACAGCCACTTAGGGATTTGTGTTTATGATTGTTCTTGTTGTTGGTGGGTGCCATCCGCGTGGTCCCAGCTCATTGCAGCCCTGTGTGCAACAAAATGAAGCATCGCTGGCCCCGCACAATCCTCACAACGGTTCTTTTTGCGACACTATTGCAGTTACTGTGTCAATCTATCCCGTGGAGAATCATCCTCGATTTTGCCGCCACGCATGTTGGCAGGGACTGGTGTCTCCTGGTGCCACGTCCGAAGGACTTGAGACAGGTGTCTCCATCCTCACTACTGCTCTTAGTTGTCCTTTATTCTTGTATGCTTCTGGGCCTCTCTTACCTTGATCGTGTGGTGCTGACTGCCTCTGTATTGGGTATTGCCTTTCTC